TACTAAAGAGTATCTTATGCATGTTTTTTTCAGCTTACGATAAAATCAAATGTTAATAAAAAATAAATAGTTACCATCATTGGTTACTAACATGTTGTATTACTCTAATAATTATAGAATAAAAATATGACATATACATTTTTTACAAACATATTTATAAAAATATAAATCTATGGCCCGTACAGGGACAGCTAGTGTACAATATTTACATTTTGTAATCTACGCACTATATGTATATACTATAAACTATATACAAGACAGTAAGGACATATTATTATAACAGCTGCAGTGGATCCGATCGTCCGGTTAATCGCTGCTCTGTGCACATACAAGTTATGTTATTCATAGTTAATTATTAGTATGTATAATAGTAAAAGCAATTAATCAAGTCGGTACAGGTAGATATAACGATAGTAATGAATATGTGCAATTAGAAATCATAATATATATAAATTATAAATACGTACGACCCATACCACGCTGAATGATATAGATAGGTATTAGCTGCAGTGCGTATTAAATGTAATAATATGATTTACAGGCTTAGCCGCTTAGGTACAGCATAGTTTTTATTATTTTTTTATTTTTATCATGTAATATGCAATCTGTACAATTTAGCGCAATAAGCATATGCGAGAAAAATAACACAACAGGCCAGAAAGACGTGATTAAAGAAGCCACCCATTAGTGACACTTTAGCAAAGGTATACAGCATAATAAATTTGAAACCGTTTTTCTACCAGTAAACACCTCCAAAATGTGTACACTAAAATAGTATATTATATTATTATATTTTACATTTACGCACTATGACAAATATGACAGATTAATACGGACCGTAATAATTATGATCGAACTAAGGGATCTCTCCATGATGATAATTAATCCTCTATGCTTGGAAAAAAGTTTCGTTTATTCCGGCCCATGGACCACTGYGCAGTAATAATATTTCGTATTCGTTAGGTATAATATTATGTTATAACAATATACAGTTATGCGACTCTATGCACAGTGATTATAAATAACTCAAATACTGCATCGAAAAACGGCTTGGTATATTATTATTAGAGGTATGAAAATGTTTTTTGGATTAAATCAAATTGACAATCAATCACTACGTCAGTTAGTTTATTTACATAAGTCCGGTATATACTATATAAAACAGTAATATTACGGACATTCATTAATAAATAAATTAAATAAATCCGATTTGAAATGGTTTTCCAAAAAACTCTTAATAACTAATTAACATGCAATATTATATATTTATATGCATACATCAAAATATGCAAAAAAAAAAAATAATAATCTATTAAATTGAAAATGAACCAAACCGTGAACATATAGGTATGGTAACAAACCAAATATCAATTTTGACTTACGGAAAAAAATTAGCAAATGTATAGATATCCTAATATTAAGAATTTTACATWTTTTATTAAATTGTTGATCGCGTATTTAGGACTTTTATATGGGAAAGTGAATGCTTAAGCTTCAAGATAAATTTCCTWCCAAAACGAATGATACTGATGAAGTAATTGTCACATTTATAACATACATATTACATATATAGAAAGTAAATATTTTTATATTTATCCTATAGGCTTCAAGAATAAACTATGATGTGCATCGTAAAATATTGAATACAGTATTTAGCCAACATCATAAATTTTAAAATATTAAAAAAAAAATGTGTAAAATACAATAAACAAAACGTTAAAAGTTATATAATATCGTTATTCTTTAATTTGTTTCCAAAATTCATTAAAGGGTCTATGAATAAATTGTAATAGTTTTTCACTGTTATAAATAATGTTACCTACTGAATACAGTAGGTAAAATATAGTTACTTACTGAATTATGCATGGCATTTTGATTATTTATTTATTTGATAATTTTATCATAATTTATTTGATTATGAAGATATAAACAAAATTAAAAAAT